TTTGCATTATGATTCTTCTGTTCTCTTTATACACGTTTACAGGAGAAGTAGGGAAGTGGTTCAGAGTTTCAAGGAGAGGTTACAGGGAGTGGGAAAGTGGTTATACAATAGTGGAGAATAAAAAATAGAATAAAGAATTTTATTCTTTTTCTCTAATAGAAGGTTGATGGAGGTGGAGAGGAATTTAGGGAGTTAGGGTTAGGTTAGTTTGCTCGCTGACCATAAAACTCACATTTTCATAATTTTTGTCCCATTAAAATTATGGCCTTTTATATAAAAAAAAAAAATTAGTTTTAGCCATGAAGTTTTATCAATCATGACTGAATGGTTGATTTTTGTTAGCAAGTGAATACTTTGTAACAATTTTTGCAAACTTGATAGATACACGAATCTAAAATTACATCAAAAGATTTTATATTGCTACAAAGTTATTTTTCTGTGTTGTTTTAAAAAAATGAATAAAGTGGATTCAATCTCTTCTTCAGATTCTATGGCACTGTGTCAAGTATATTGTTTGGAACAGGCTGCACCAACCGTTTGTTGAGTTGTGCAGAAAATGTGTGAAAGCAGCAGAAGCAGGAGCAAATGACATGCTTAGGGGGAGAATGTTGAGAGAAGCAGATCAATGCCAGTCTGTGTATTCTCGATGGACGAGCAACATGAAAAGAAAGTAATTAATGGCGCAAATCAGGCGTATTCAAAGCAATGTGGAAATGGAAGGAACTACAATCTTGCCAAAAATAAGTGGAGCAGATTTGGCAAGTCAAGATTTCTCTTCAACGGCTCTGCTGTGGGACAAATATAAAATGGAGCTCAATTGAGTTGAGTGAGCCAATTTTTCCCTATGATTTTTATAGAACAAAAGAGAGAGCTTGAGAAGCAAGAGTCTTCTGTTAGAAGTGATCAGTAGTGCTAATCGAGGTGATTAGCTAGGAAAAATCGGGGTGTTTGAACAAGAAGTTTGTACACCAAAGGCTAAAACTTGGTAGATCTGCTGGGAGCAGATTAGGAGTTCACCAAGTTCTGTAAAACACAAGACACTAAGATAGTGCTTACGTAGGAGATCTCAAGAAGAGAGTTTCCTACCGTGGATTAGTCGATATTGGGATCCTCATTCTCCCAATATCAGATACCACGTAAAAATCTGGTTTGTCTGTGTCAGTGAGTTTGATTCTGCTGCTGGTATTTTCTTGTTATCTTACTCTGTTTTGCAGGTACAGAGTTCTGGGAAGAAGTCTTGTCTTCACTACGAAGAAGAAGACGTTGTGAATTGGGCTCAGACAGTTGTCCCAATTCATTTTGTTAGCAATTACACTGTTCAGGGCTCAAAGCCCAGTTCGGGTCGTTTTAGCTATCAACTAAAGCTTAGAATATCTGGAATCAAAACACATCTTCATTTTCTCACTTAATATTTCCATCACTCGATTCTCTCACTTGATCTGAGATTGTAGAATTAGGGTTCATCCAAAATAGAAACCATCGAAGAGAAACCCTATCGTCTCGTGCTCGACGGTCCAACACAGACATACACCAGATGTCGGAAGCCTCATGGCAACATACTGGGATCGACAACCTCTCAACCCAATATCAAAATAAGGAAACTACATACTAAGAACCAAAATAATCACCAACCTTTTGGCGATGTGAAGAAAGGAGGATGGACGAAGAAGGAAAGAAATGAGAATAATAAAAGGGAGTTTTGGGGAAAAGAGCCCACGACCTCTGCAGATAAAGAAGCCCATGAATTTATAGTCAACGGGCCCACAAAAGGAGCCCCTCATCGACAACTTCCAAGGGAAACTCTACCAAGACTGTGAAGTCGAAAGAGACTGAATTGAATAATACCCCCAATGGCCCAGCTATAGTCCCAAACATTGAAAGGAAAAAATGGTACTGACTGAGATACTGATTATCAATGTCGTCAAAATCGTGTTTAACTACATTGTCGATTATCGATGTCGTCCCCAACGAGCACCCTCAGCCGCGGAAAATCGACCCTGATGTGTAATCGACAGTGGCTCGAATCAAGAAATCCAAGGTGAAAGGAGGAGGGAACCCGACCGGCGACAAGAAAGGAACCCCCTATCCGCCATAACCCTTCCAAATCGTTGTGAATTTGGTCTCCTGTGAAGGAGAAGAAATCCAAAAATAAAGAATGAAGGATGTCGATTACCCTACAGGAGATCAAAGCTTTGACCGAAGTAGCCTCCCCTTGTCCTCCTCAAGGGGATCAGTCAATAGTGAATCCTCTTATAGTGGCCTTGTATTCTAACTCGGCAAGCGATACTAAAAATTCCCCAACCTGATTCCCTTTGGTTGTTCTCTCCTATCTCTTTGTGTTTTCTTTCCTCCCTTCTCTTTTTTATATACTGTTATGCCGGCTGCAAATTTTAATTCCATTAAAATTCTCGTGGAACGTCTCATTCGCTCCCTCATGCTTGCTCTATTGCTTCAGAAACCTGACTTTGTCATTTACTCATTTTGATAGAACCAAGGTCAACGACACTGCTGCGAATTCCATCTGCGATAATCATATGAGAGCACGGCCACCACAGCTGTGACTATTCGTCGATGCAAGCGTTTCAATGATTGGCTCAACCAGGCCGAACTTGTTGATCTTGGGTACTCCGGACCCTGCTGGACATGGACAAGAGGAGATCGTCAACATTCTTTTAAGGCGAGTCAGCTGGATAGGAGTATCTGTAATTTGGAGCGGAATGAAACATTTCCCAACACTTCAGTTCTTCACCTTCCTCGACTCAACTCAGCCATCATCCTACTCTCATGTCCTTTACATTTCAAGGAGCTCCTAATTCTCATCACAAAATGTTTAAATTTGAAGCAGCTTTGCTTGCCCATGCTGAGTTTCCAATTTCTTGACAGGCTCATGGCACTCCCAGACTCCCTTACCTCATGCCTTGCAGGAGCCAGCAATCAAACTACAGAGCTGGAACACGGATGTCTTTGGCAATGTGTTATATAAGAAGAAATGGCCACTGAAAAGGATCAACGGAGTTTATAGGAGTTGGCAGGGAATTCTCCCCAAGCTAGAGGCTGAACTTGACAAGATCCTCGAACAAGAGTAGATGTTGTGGTAGGAAATATCTCTTGAGAAATAGGTGAAATTTGGAGAACGAGACACAACCTACTTTCACCAGATGGAAAATATTCGACGGCACAACAATAAGATCGAATGCATGTGAGATTCAAATGGGGAGTGGATTAGTGATGCGAGGAGCTTAGCAGGCTTGGTGTTCGATTTTTCTTTCCTGATCTTTACTTGCAGAACAACCAACCCTACAAAGATTGTATGACAAAGGGTGCATTCCTCCGCCCACATCAAGAGGAGATGATTCTTCTACTTAGACACTTCACTATTATGGACATCCATAGAGCGATCTTCGAGATGAACCCCCCCCCCCCCTCCCCCACAAGCTCCCAGGCCGAACAAATATCAAGCTATATTCTACCAGCAAGCCTGGAATGTAGTTGGAAAAGCACTCACTGACATGGCTATTTTTTTTTCTTACACAAGGACTCTCCCAGAGGCGTTCTCTGATTCCACGGTGGTCCTCATTCCAAAAATCGATAAGTCGGAGCATGTGTCGCAACTCCGCCCAATATCTCTCAGTAATGTGAACCTTTCGACGATCATCAAGTCAATGACGAGTAGACTGAAACCAATGACGGGGAAGCTTATTTCACCAATCAAAACAACAAAGCACCTTTATTCCTGGTTGTCAAGCCTTAGACAATATTATAGTCGTCCAGGAAGTCATCCCTTCCCACAAGAAAATTTGATGAAAGAAAGGAGGATTGGTGTTGAAGATCGACTTAGAAAAGGCTTAGGATAGACTTCGTTGGGACTTCCTAAGCGATACTTCGGTTGAGATAGGGTTGCCGAGTTCCTAGATAACTATATTATGTATTGCATCGAGAAGAACATAATGGATCTACTTTTGATTACTTTTTAGTTAGCATGGTGCTAACACTAGTTTCAACCAATAGAAACATTTTGTTTGGATTACGTTTTAATTTAAATGAGTTGGCTACAATTAATGAAGGGAATGTCATTTAATTCATGTGTGTTAACTTATGGAAGGGGTTGGGGGCATCAAACAAATACATGAAACACTAGAAGCAACACCGCAAAAAACCACAAATCTTAGAAAGAATGCCACAACCTCACCACTCCACAAAAGTAATAAATCACACCACAAACTCATGAAGAAAACCACAAGCTCATGCAGCAAACCACAAATCTCATAAAGCACACCATAATTTCTATAAAACATACCATAATTTTATAAAATCACACCACAAGTTTCTAAAGCTAACCACTAGTCTCATGAAATAGATCACAAATCTCATAAGACACACCACAAATTTATTAAAACATACCACAGATCTCATAAAGTATATCACAAGTTTATAAAATCACACAACAAGTTTCATGCAAAAGACCAGAACCTTCATAAAGGATATCACAAATTTATTAAAATACACCACAAAGTACACTATAAAACTCACAAACCGTTCAATAAAATATACCATAATTCTATATAGGATATCACAAATGGCTTAATTGCAAGTTTGGTCACTCGAATTGCTATTAAATTTCATGTTTGCCACTCGAATTGGTTTATTCCATTTATAGTCACTCGAATTGGTTGAACAGTCAAAGTTCGGTCACTCTCCGTTAACCTCTGTTAGACTCCGTTAATGTCTTAATGACGATCGTTAAGTGATGACGTGGCTAACAGAAAATCACAGTCAGTACAATTTAACATTAATAAACAATGACCCGACCCGCCACGTCACATTTACCCGCCATGTCAGCTCTTCTTGCCCAACTCGCGAACCAACCCAATTAATTGACCCAAACCCAAAAACGGAACCCGACTCCCCTAAAAAGTAAATTGAAAAAGAGAGGGTTGGGCACTTTCCCTTCCTCCATCGTCCTCTCATCCTCCAGGGCCACGTCTCTCCAGAAGCAGCCATCAAAAATCGCCGAAGAAGGAGGATGGAGGCCGCCGCGCATCCTGGCAGATACTAATACGTAGAGACCTACTCCAACTCATAGAGCAACCCCAATCAAGAATAAACAAAGACGAGGGGAAGTTGAAACAAAATAGACTAGGGAGATCCCAGGGCTCCGTCCGGTAGACGTCAACGACGGAAATCGAGTCCAATCGGATGGGCTTGTTAGTGACCTTTCGCTTCAGGTAGTACTGGAGCAGTTCCTCATCGGTGGGGTGGAACCGGAAACCAGGACCGAGAAAACTTGCCGAGTCGCCACGAGCCATCTACTGAGTCGAAGCAATTGGAGCAGACCAGGAGCGAAATCGCGACGAAAAGCGTGCGTCTTGAGAAGAAAACTGAATCGATCACTGTGACCGTCGAGAAAAGAAACTAAAATTGACCCGTGGACCAAATTAGGGCAAGGGGAATCGACCGGAAAGCGGTTATATCATACGTCTGCGGCGTTGGTTGTCGGTGGCGGAAGCGTGAACGAGGATGAGAGGGGAAGCAGCCATTGTGTTGGTTCGGGTCTGGGTTTGGGTCAATTAATTGGGTTGCTTCGCAGGTTGGGCAAGAATGGCTGAGTGGGCGAGTAAATATGACGTGGCGGGTCGGGTCGTCGTTTTTTAGTGTTAAAATATGCTAACTGTGATTTTCTGTTAGCCACATCATCATTTAACGGTCGTCATTAATGGAGTCTAACGGAGGTTAACGGAGAGTGACCGAACTTGAATTGTTCAACTAATTTGAGTGACTATAAATGGAATAAATCAATTCGAGTGGCAAACGTGAAATTTTATAGCAATTCGAGTGACCAAATTTGCAATTAACCCTATCACAAATTATTTAAAGTACGCCACAACTCCCCTGTGTCTAATTTGAAATTTCATTCAATTCCTCTTACTATGATTTTTACAACTTGGGAGCAATTAACTGATATAATTAAGGGATTTCCTACAATAACTTGAAGTAAGGTAACTTGAATTTTTTTACCTATGATAGCAGGTTTCACAGGTCGCATTACATAAGATACAATAGGCATTACGTAATGGTTACGTAACATATGGTAATCTTACGTAACAGTTGTAAAAGATCATTACGGAAGCCTTACGTAATAGAATGTGTCTTTACGTAATGAGTATTAACCTCGCATTACATAAAATGTTATGTCATTACGGAAACCTTACATAACGCTACTGATTTAACTGTTACGTAAGAAATAGCTGTTGTTACGTAATATTTACGTAATGAATATTAACCTCACGTTACGTAAAGTGTCAAGTCATTACGAAAGCCTTACGTAACGCTTCCGATTTAATTGTTACGTAAGAAATAACTATCATTTTGTAACCTTTACGTAATGAATGTGTATTTTACGTAACAGTTGTAAAATGTCATTACGGAAGCATTACGTAATGGAAGGTCTCTTTACGTAATGAGTACTAATTCGTGTTACGTAAAGAGCTAAGTCATTACGGAAGTTTTACGTAACGCTTCCGATTTCACTGTTACGTAGGAAATAACTATCATTCCGTAACCTTTACGTAAAGGAAGGTCTCTTTACGTAATGAGTATTAACCTCACGTTACGTAAAGTGCTAAGTTATTACGGAAGTCTTACGTAACACTTCTAATTAAAATAAGGAAAGGATAAAATAAGAAAAGCAAATAAATGTGAAAAAGGAAAGAAAAAAACTAAGAAAGGTAAGTTAAGTGGGTGGTGACCGGCAACCCCCTATTGCCAATTATTTTTTTCTTATTATTTTTTTTTTATTTCTTTAATCAATGGTTTAAAATAAGTTTGATCGATTTTAACGGTTTAGATCTATACAAGTTACCTAACTTGAAATTATACCCAAGTTACTATAGGAGGTACCTCTAATTAATAATATGCAAGAATTGGACAAAAGGAAGCTATTCGGCGGAGGTATAGGCAAAACCGCCTGCCTGTCCTTCTACGAGCTCAGCAAGATTTTCAGATCCGATTCGATCGCCTACGACGGAGGATCAAGCTAGCTATCCACATCCAGCGGAGGGTAACAATAATAGAAGAAGAAGATCAATCTCCTTCACCATCGACGAAGCCATCCATACTAATTAAAACCACCGCAACATCGAATACATCTCAACGCCGGACCTCCACAACACGATTTGGATGAGATTTTATTAATTTGTGCCTATTAAATGTGTTCGGTCCGGTTTTTAAAAGTGTTTTTCGGTTTCAAAAGTTATAGCAAGGCCAAACACATTTAAAAACTCGGTTTTTGAAAAGCCGAAAAGTGCTTTGGTATAACATAAAAGCAGAAGCTCCAATTTTGAGCTTCTGCGAAAAGCTGTTTTGAAAATACAAGATTATCCTTACGATATTTTAATTTTATTTCAGAAAATTACTTATCCAAACACATTCAAACACTCAACTGTTTTTTTTTTTTTTGAAAAGTACTTATCTAAAAGCTCCATCTAGAAGCTGCTTATGCAAAAGCTACAGGAAGGCCAAACTAAGCTACTAGGGTGGTAATACTTAAGGGTTTTAGCACCTTATATGGCTTCGATAAATATTAAATAATGACCAAAAGAAACATTGGAAAAAAAAAACATAAAAATGGACTAAAAAATAAAAAGTAATTTAAAATGGTAACTAAAATTTTATTTGCCATTGTTTTTCGTTTCGTTGCTTTTGGTGGTTCTTTTAGTTTGTTAGCCTAGAAAAAATATTTTCCCTGAGAAAAAGGAGAGCAAAGGAGGAAAACTTGCCATAGTCCCAACCCAACTTTCTGGCGATGGTGGCGATGGTGATCCTCTGTTGATTCTTCTCGTGGAAAGCTACATCCAAATGCCCCAAACTAGTTTATATATGAATTAATATACTATAACCGAACAACATGCACAAGGAATGCACAATTTTGATATCGACCCAGTATCATTGTAGATCTCATTTCGTCACTATGACTCACGCAGAGAAAGAGGGTTCTTGGGAAGTAACTTACTCGTAGAACTATAAAACAACAACTTCCTGTTGATGATAGTGGTAATGACCGTCTGTTGATTGTTGTCGTCGTGGAAAAGCGCATCCAAATGCCGGAGAGATGCAAAAGCGCAAAGAAGAACCAACAGGGAAAATGTAGCCTTTATACTTCCCATCGATTGCTGCCCTTTTTTCCCCGCAGATCGGGTTTAATTTATATACTATTGTACGTATGTGAGGAGCTGAGATTTTATTTCGAGTACCGAGTGATCCAACCGGACTAATGCGTCTGTACATAGTACGGTTGAAGAAAAAATACTCGCTGAGAATTTAGTTCGACTACCGGCAGATCCAACCGGATTATTCTTTGTCCATAGTACGGTTGAATAAAAACACTTGTTGAGGAATGAGGACAAATATATGCATGCCTCCAAAGTGAAATTGCGTTCCTGTTTCCACTACTTGCACTCGGAGGAATCTATGTTTCTCTGATTTTCTTCCTAGAGTAGAGCCCCTACTCCTCTGGGAGATGATGCCAAGCGGGGAGCTACCACCTAACCTGAAATTAGTAGTAGCCGCCAATTTGAAAAATATATTAAAGTGAATATCATTTTGAAGAGCACAATTAATCTGATCTAATTATGCAAAATAATAATAATAATAATAATAATAATAATAATAATAATAATAATAATAGTCCGATAAAACGAGTGAGAAATCATCCGTTAAAGATTATAATCTCTAACTGATGCACAATTGGTTTTCGTTCGCGAGGGTATTATAATAAATACAAAATGCATTTAAGGCTTTGATGCCGATCATTTCATAGAAGATAGAAATTATTTTCTACTACTTTCTCTTTTCATAAAACAAAAGAACCAAACTTCTCCTTATTTATTTTTCCAAAATTTGAAGGAACCAAATTTCTCTCTTCCTTCTTTTCAAATAATTAAATTGTCAAATACATTTCTTTACTATATTTATAATAACAATATTTTAATGTATATTACTATATTAATATTATACATTGTCTCAATTGTTAATTATTCATTACAAACGTTAGCATTGTGCTGATTTTATATTTCTTCTTTAGTATTTTTTAATTTTGTTAAATAAATAATGTTCAAGTGAACTTCATGTTTTAATTTTTATACTGAAAAATATTTTTTTTCAAGTGAATTTCATATTTTAATCTTCCTTTTATGAAATTAAATAACTTTACTTAGGTTTAGAACAAAAAAATTTATTTTGAAAGACTATGTATTGTATAATATAGATAATAACTATTCATCCAGATCAATCGGGCGGGTTCGGGTTAATCAGGTTTGGGTCAATTAGGTTACATGTTTAATCAGGTTGCAGGTCAATCTGATCGTCGGTCAATCGCGTTACGGGTTAATAGGGTTGCCGAGCGGGCGGGTTGCAAGTTGTTGACTTTAGTTAATTTGGATTGCGGTCAGGTTACAGGTCTGGGTGATTGGGCAGGTTACTCGGATCAGGTTTTGTTTTGACACCTCTATTCATGAATCATGGTCAAGCTACGCATACTTGAGTAAGAAGCTGGAAACTTTTTTTCTGCATTATACGGAGACCGAGGTCAAGAAACAGAAAATGAGGGTTGTTATAGAGGGGGAGATAAATGTGTCACAACTTGACGCTCAAAAGAGACCCCACGAATGTCATCCGGAAGTTTGGAAGTTTTTTATATGGATTTCTAGTTACGTTATTGTTGGGGGTATGGCTCGTGTCTAGTCGCGCCAATAAGTTAGTCCAGTGCCGCCCCAGAAAACCACTCGCGCTCGTACTATCGCGCTCACAACGGGGAGCAGCTCGCGGAAAGACCACAATCGCGGAAAGGCTGCACTGGCAGATTGGGTTCCACGATACGGGACACGCCCGCAAGTATCAGGGCGCCAAACAACACCGTTTTGCTCAATTCAGGCCGGATCACAAAGCCAAGAAACGACATCGTATTACCTGAGAAACGGTCACATCCTAGCCCTAGGTATAATCATGGCCTAAGTGTCTGACAAATTCAGTAGTCATGTCGCATTAAATATACACCCACCACAATGTAGCCTATAAATTATTTTTAAAACCTAACGATTAAACCCAATTACGGGATACCCTTTTCTAGTAGGATATGTCGCAAGATCATTGTTGAGCAGTACAGACACCGAATGTATTTTACTATTTTACGAAACATGTCTGAACTTTTAATGTAACTTTTATTAGTCAGATATTTTTATATTTAATAATTATTTAATTTAATTTTAATATTTAATTTAATTTAATTTTTGAAGAGGACACCCCTATGTAG